TGCACCCCGGAGTAAAATTTCCTCTTGCCTTAGTGACATTTGAGGAAGAACGATGTTGAGTTTGGCAGCAGCCTTTGAGGAAAAGAGCTTTTAAATCAAAGGCTGTGACAACATCTATCTTTCTTAATTAAATGCACACAGCTAAACCTCAACTTACGACAACAATTGAGCCCAGAATTCTTGTTGCAAAGTGAGACGTTTGTTAAGTTAGTAAGACGGTTGTTAAGTGAGCCTGGCTCCCCCCACCCCATTGACTTTGCTTGTCAGAGAGTCGCAAAAGGGGATCACGTGACCCTGGGACACTGCAACCGTCATAAATACGAGTCAGTTGCTAAGCGTCTGAATTTTTATCAGTGACCTATGACCATTTTTCACACTTACGACCATTGTAGCATTCCCCATGGTCATTTGATGGAAATTCCTCCTCTTCCTCCTCCTCCTCCTCTCTGCAAACCCCGCCCCCTTCTAGCACTGATGATGTTTGTTTGTTTATTTATTTATTTATTTATTTATTTATTTATTTATTTATTTATTTATTTATTAAATTTATATACCGCCCTATCTCCCTTGCGGGACTCAGGGCGGTGAACAGGTGATACTAAAAACCACGAATAAATAAATAGTTTCTGTTTTAAAATCAAATTGAATAATAGGCCTGTTCTAAAAACACACCCATACAAAACCCCCCACTGAAACACAATCCTAGTTGGGTCGTGAAAGGTCTGCAAGAAAACAGCCAAGCTCAGACAACATCAAGGACCTCCTCCTCCTCCTCCTCCTCCTCCTCCTCCTCCTCCTCCTCCTCCTCTTCCTCTTCCTCTTCCTCTTCTTCTTCTTCTTCTTCTTCTCCTCCTCCTCCTCCTCCTCCTCCTCCTCCTCCTCGTGCAGGCTGTAGGACTAAATGATGATCCAGAACGCATTTCAGTCCATTAACAAGACATCTTCATTGCTATAAAGTGCTCTGCTGGTGTCTTCTTTTCGAAAACCGTGGTGTGAATTATCTCGACTCTCCCCACTAACTGTGGAGGCAGAGGAGAGGCCGTGTGGATGCATATTCATAAGCACATCTAAACACAATATACTTGGATTCACTCACCCTGGTTTGTGGCAAATCAGGTAGACCCACCAAGTACCGTAGAGCCATTGCCGGTTTTTGTGTGTCTCTGTGTGTGTTTGACATTCCGCAACACCTTATTGCGTTTGAATTTGCAAAGATTGGGGAGGGGGGAGAGAAACAAACAAAGCAGTTGATTCTTTCGGAATTTTCATTACCGCGCCGAAGAATAGAAGTTTCCCTCCCCTGGATCATTTATTCATGACTTTTGTATTATGTTTTTAATTAAAACACGTCTTGCAGTTGCCCCACGTAAAGGTTTTGTATTTTTCATGCAAGAAGAAAGACGGGGAGGGAAAAAAAACCCCCACACATCAAACCAATATTGCTCTAATGGAAACAGATTCTCCTTTACTTTTCAGCTTTGCTGGTTTTTGCGACGTGCTTAATGAAGCTACACTTCGGCGGCCTTTAAACACAAAGTGGGGATGGCCGTTGGTTCCATTGTTAGTAAATGCTCTTTTAGATGTTAAAAGGTACCTTGGCTGGTTTTCCGTGTGAGCATTTTTGGAGCTAAACACTTGACTGATCTTTATTGTCACGGAAAACACAAGCCAGCCATACAAATTCGTGATAATTACCCAAGTTCTTTTCTCTCCTAACAATTGGTAACTGGTCTAGTAGTGTCTAGGCATAATTGAAGTATTACTTGGACATTAGATACAATTAAAATCTTTATCTGCCTGGTTAACTCTGCACTCTTTGGCGCCCAGTTGCGATAGCTGGTCTTACGCACGTTTGGTCATGGATTGTGTATGTTCATCAGCAAAGTCATATGTGCATGACTGTCACAACCAGGTGCCAAATGAAAGCCAGTTTGGTCTAGTGGGAAATGGTGAGTTCTAGTCCTGATTTAGGCATGAAAGCCGCCTGGGTGACTTTGGGCCAGTCACCAGGAGACGTGAGTTCTAGTCCCGCTTTAGGCATGAAAGCCAACTGGGTGACTTTGGGCCAGTCACCAGGAGACGGTGAGTTCTAGTCCCACTTTAGGCATGAAAGCCGCCTGGGTGACTTTGGGCCAGTCACCAGGAGACGGTGAGTTCTAGTCCCGCCTTAGGCATGAAAGCCAACTGGGTGACTTTTCACACCATCAAACATCCATGTCTGCCAGGAAAGCTGCCTTTTGCAATTGACCGATAGGGATTTTGTCAATGCCGATGGTGTTCAATTGCTATTATTATGGTTTGTCACACAGCCAGCCAGATGTTTAGAGTAGGTTTGGCGTTTTGATCCACCTATCGAGTCCTTCCCAAGGACCTGGGATAAGCAGACGTGGAGGTTTGATGGTGTTCAAGGTCTCCTCACGGGATGTCAGCTGTTTCCAGGAAAGCTGCCTTTTGCCATCGATGAGAGATGGTCCTCTACTTAAAATCTCAGTTGAGCCCAACATTCCTGTTGCTAAATGAGACATTTGTTCAGCCAGTTTTGCCCCATTTTACGACCTCTCTTGCCACAGTTGTTAAGTGAATCACTGCAGATGTTAAGTCAGTAATATGTTTGTTAAGTGAATCCGGCTTCCCCATTGACTTTGCTTGTCAGAAGGTGGCAAAGGGGGATCACGTGACCCCCCTGGGATCCTGCAACCGTCCTAAGTACATGCCTGTTGCCAAGCCTCTGAATTTTGATCATGTGACCATGAATGGATGCTGCAACGGTCGTAAGTGTGAAAAATGGTCATCAGTCAGGACTACCTGTAATGATGAATTAATCAGTGCCAATTCCCCCCCCCCACCATTCTCCCCAGCTTCACAGTTGCCTAAAATTTGATAATAAAACAAATATTTGAAGAATTTCCTATGGAACCCTTTTTGCATTTGCAGAAACAAAGAACGTAAACGTCAAAACTTTGCTTTGCGTGACGAAAGAATTTTGCAGCACCTTTGATGCGTGGAGGTCACAAATGCAATCTTGTAAAAATGTTAATTACCCAAAAACATTTTTACCCGAAATTAAACGTCGCTTTCTTCAGAAAGAAACACGGTTTTGCTTGCATTCGGTGCTTTCGGAGGCGGCTGACGGTTCTACAGATTAATTTAAATGTTTCCCATTCTTTGCAACTGGCATCCAGAAATATCAAGATACATTGCACTAATTTTTCTTAAAGCGGTTTTATGCGCAAGTTAAAAATACAGATGCTTTGCTAAAAAATATTTCTTATTCAGGTAAATCTCCTAACTCACCACGAGCGGGGATTTTCTGCCCCTTAAATTTTCCAATAACGAGATGATATATATTCTCCTTAAATCGCTGCCAATTAATCAAAGTATAAATTCAGTTTCAGGAGCAAAACTGCTTCCGTGCTGTAGTTTCAACACTTGGTTGAAAATATAATCACAGTTGTGCTTTCCAAGACGGCGCTTTAGCTAATGTCAAAATAATAATAATAATAATGAATGAGCTGTATGTTTGTTTTTTTGAATTAATAGCTGAAATTCACTCGGGTGGAAATAGAGCAAATTTAACTTGGACTAGAATTTGTCATTAAAAAGTTATTATGAAAGCGGGCCAGTCTACGTTCCCTCCCTTTTGCCATCAATGACAAAAGCATCTCTCTAAATAAATAAATAAATAAATAAACAAACAAACAAACAAACAAACAAACAAACAAATAAATAAATAAATAAATAAATAAAATGGGGAAGAGGCTGTATTTTCACTCGGAAAATAGTGCAAAAGGCATAATATAATAGAACCGGGCAGAAGTGAGTGAGTTTAGAGATTTATTGGTCAATAAAGCAGACCAATTACAGCTTGTTTATAAAAGGAAGGGTCCCTTTTTTTGACCCGCAAGGAAGACTAAGACTTTAATAATGATAATTCTGGCGTCTCGCTTGAAACAATAAAAGTCAATAGGAAGATATAGGATTTCAATAAAATTATGACACTATATAAACTTTCTCCCTGGAACAAGTTTTCCCCACAGATATCTGATTGACTTTAGTTAGATTTGTAACTTTAATTTTGTTTCCATTGATTTTTGTGGGCAACAACTAATTAGACACTCACTGTCAAATAGTCTGGATTGTGGAAGAAACTGAAGGCAAAACCAGCATAAGGGACAATATGCTAGGAAAGCCCAAATGAACTGCATGAGTAAATACACAAGTAATACCCAAATGTAGACTTTGTTTGGTATGTTTTCTGTTGTTTTTGGCTCCTCTTTTGCAAAGAGAGAACAATCTGGAAGTGTCAGTGTGTCACTGAAATAAGAAGTCAAGGGTAGACCTATTGATGAATTTTATTGTATTCTTCTTTTCAGTAGAAAACACAAACCAATTAATGCACAGTGAGTCTCTCATATTAGACATCCTGGGCAGGTTGTGTTAATTGTTATTGATGGATCTGTTTTTAGCCCAAATGCTGTTTGATGTCTAGAGAATAACAGAGTTGGAAGAGACCTCGGGGGTCTTCTCGCCCAACCGCCCTGCTCAAGCAGGAGACCCTAGACCATTTGAGACAAGTGGCTGTCTTGTCTTTTCTTGAAAGCCTCCAGCGATGGAGCACCCACAACTTCTGAAGGCCAGTTGTTCCACTGGTTGATTGTCCTCACTGTCAGGAAATGTCTCATTCCAGATTGGATCTCTCTTTAACTAACAGAACCACTAACAGATCTCTCTTTAACTAACAGAACAAGGGACTTTGGAGGTCTTCTAGTCCAACCCCCTGCTCAAGCAGGAGACCCTACACCATTTCAACGTGTCCTCCAGGTTGCATTGAATGGAAATTAACAGCTTTCTCCTTCCTTCCTTCCTTCCTTCCTTCCTTCCTTCCTTCCTTCCTTCCTTCCTTCCTTCCTTCCTTCCTTCCTTCCTTCCTTCCTTCCTTTCCCCCTCATTCCTCTTTTCCTTCCTTCCTCCCTCCCTCCCTCCCTCGCTTATTTCTCCAGGCCCGCGATGGAATGAGGTCCATTCTGGAATTCTACGACAGCGAGCTCAATCCGTCGGAGCACTCACCGCAACTCACCTTCCGCGTGCGAGAAGCCGAGGAGATGGTACAGAAGGTGGAGGCCCACTGTACCGAAATGGAGGTAATTGTGGGCAAAAACATTGGGGTGTTTTTCTATTGAAGGGGAACCTTCAGCTTTGGACATCAATTTTGGAAGAAATTTAATACAGGTTGTTACAGCCGTTCGTTTAGTGCTGCAGCTGCCAAAAAAGCCAACACAGTGCTAGGCTGCATGAACAGAGGGATAGAATCAAGGTCACGTGAAGGGTTAATACCACTTTACAAGGCCTTGGTAAGGCCACACTTGGAATACTGCATCCGGTTTTGGTCACCACGATGTAAAAAAGATGTTGAGACTCTAGAAAGAGTACAGAGAAGAGCAACAAATATGATTAGGGCGCTATTTTGTTCTCTTTCATTTGAGAACCTCCTAGAACGTAGCCCTCACACCATTTTTCAGCCTGGACTCCAAAGGGCTCTGACCCTGACCCTAATTTGAGCCCTTTTACCCTAACCCTCCTTTCATTTTCATCGTCAGTGAACCTTAGACTCTTAGAACCTCTTAAATCTGAGCAACAGTGAGGCACAAAGTCAAGGACACCTGTAGAAATGTTATAATTTTCCTTTTTCTATAATATGCCACCACGTCATCACCTTTTTTTTTTTTTTTTTGCTTGATTCTTTCCCTGCTTAGTTGGTTAATCCGTCCCATGTTTCTTCTTAAAGTAGCTCAAACTCAGCTCAATAAATCCATTTTCGGAGAGAATAGAAATCTCCTGATAAGCCGACTCCGTTGCCGGTCCTCCGAGTTTCAGCCTCGACTTCCCCGTTTCGTCTTCCCACGCCGCCCCATCACAGCCAGCGCATTCTTTCAAAACACTTCAAAAAGCGAATAATTCCAAAAAAAAAAAAACCCCTCTTAATTTGGTTCCAGGTAGCAGCTGTTGTGGGCTAAGCAGCACAATATCCAGCCATCATTAGCTGCTGCATTTTGAAAGAGAAAGGGAGATTGATTAAGGGGTGGGATTTCAGCCCCCAAGTCCCACTATTTCCAAAGCGCACCCCAGGACTGAGAAGAGGAGAATACCCAGAGGAATAAATTAAGACATTCCCCAAATGTCTTAATTTGTGTTTGAGAGGCAGCTTGGATGTTCTCAGTTACACCAAAGTTGTGACTCAAGACTTCTTCACCGCAAAAGGCAGAATGAGACTTTCACGCAATGTGACTGCCGGCTTTCCTGTATCTCTGTGGCTCAGTCCAACGAAGATGTCTTCTTTCTTCAGCATGGGGACAGAGTCCTGGCTTGAAGGAAGGTACAGACCAGGATTTAGAGGCAGGTCTCTGGCCAGTTAATCCATCTGTGTGTTTTGACGTTGTCATCTCTTGGCAAACAGCCTCTCCGCTGGCCCGGCTTACCCTCTGCTCTGAATTTACGACCGTTGCTCTGAGAGAACCACCACAATGCTAAATATAGGCTTGGTGAAGGTGAATGCCAATAAACGTAGCACCATAAATGTTCCTTTCATTGCAACACATTTGGCTCAGTGTGAAACATTAAGAACACAAAGAGGGATGTGCAGAGCGCGCTCATGCTGGCAACATCTAGAGTTCACAGATTCGAAGGAAGGAAGGAAGGAAGGAAAAGAGAGAGAGAAGGAAGGAAAATAGCAATAGCATGTAGACTTCTAAACCGCTTCACGTTGCTTTATAGCCCTCTTTACAGAGTCAGCCTAAATTGCCCCCAAGAATCTGGTTCCTTATTTTATTGACCTCGGAAGGATGGAAGGCTGAGTCAACCTTGAGCCAGTCAGGATCAAACTGCTAGCAATTGGCAGAAATAACCTGCAATGCTGCATTCTAACCACAGGGAGGGAGGGAGGGAGAAAGAGAGAGAGAGAAGGAAGGAAGGAAAGGCAGTAGCAATAGCACTTAGACTTATATACCGCTTCACAGTGCTTTACAGCCTCCTCTAAGTGGTTTACAGAATCAGCCTCTTGCCCCCAACAATCTGGGTCCTCATTTTACTAACCTTGGAAGGATGGAAGGCTGAGTCAACCTTGAGCTGGTCAGGATTAAACTGCTAGCAATTGGCAGAATTAGCCTGCAATGCTGCATTCTAACCACTGTGCCACCACAGCGCTAGATGCTGTTACCTTCCCACCAAAGTGGTAGCTCTTTATCTACTTGCATTTGCATGCAAAAACAGGAGCTCATCCTGTTGTGCCGAGCTTGGGTCTCAAAGCTGGGCCATCAACTCTCCAAGCTCAGCATTTTTAACTGCTGAGGAGTCCAGGCTAATTCCCTGCTTGATCCCTCCTCTTGACTGGGACAGTTGCTCTATAATATCAGGGAACCTGTAAAACTACCCTTTAAAAGGAGTCTTTCTTCCTTTCCAGCTGAAATGGGCATTTGGGCATGCAGGCACTGCTATTATCATAGAATCATAAGAGTTCTTTATTGGCCAAGGGTGACTGGACCCCCAAGGAATTATTTGCAAGAGTCAACCTAAAATAGATCTCTGCGACCCGTTTCCCCCCTTTAGACAGTCTAAGTTGAAGCCATAAAATATGGATGGGCACCGTTACGGTAATAGCTTCTTCCCTCCCTCCCATTTAGAGTTGTCCCTGCGCTTCCATCCCTCATCTGTTCCAATTTTTTAGCTTTTCTTCCAAGGCAAATCCTGGGATAAATCAAGTGTCCGAGGACAGCATCTCCCGGGAAGCTCTGCCTTGGCTGCGCACGGGGAGGATTTACGAGCCTGTCCTTTGCCTTGACCAGACTCTGGCTAACTTTTGTGTCCATAAAACAGCCCTGAATTGTATGCATTAACCCAACCTGTCTTCCCAGTGTCCTGTTTTGTTTTGTTTTTTCTCCGAGAGGTGCAGATGTTGGTTAGTCAATTCCTGCGCCCCTTCCCCATGGAGGGTGGGCTGCTGGCCTTCAACTCAGTAAGTAGCAGAATTTCTTCCGTTCATTGGGCGTAGGGAGAGTGGTTGTAAAATTGTTGATTTAAGAGCCTTGCAGGAAGCAGTGTAATCAGAAAGTATGTCAAACGCAGGTTTAAAACAACAGCAGCGGGAAACTCCTCTTGAAATAAAATTGATTTTCCCTTGGAAAGGTTATTCCACCTTTTTGAGGAGGGAGGGGGGCTTCTCCAATAAGACCCCATCTGTTCTACACCCCTTCCTTTTAATAGTCTAAACCAGGGGTAGTCAACCTTGGTTCTTTTATGACTCGTGGAATTCTGGGAGTTGAAGTCCACGAGTCATAAAAGAGCCAAGGTTGACTACCCCTGGTCTAAACATACCTCTGGGATAGGCCATCTCCTTCTAAATCCACCTGGGCTTGGCCACCCAGATGGGATTTTATATCTTTGCAAGCAATTTTTTTTGGGGGGGTGAGTTCCCTTACAGTGCATCAGAAACAGGTAATTATAACTTTCCCTCCAAGCATTGGACGTGTCCCGTTGTGTGGAAGAGACACGTGGAAGAGAATTAACCTGGTCAAGATCTGTTGTTTCTTCCTTAGCGGCTCCCCGTGGCTAATTATTTCATTTGTGTGTGGGTTTTTTTTTCTTTTAATCTATGAATACACATATGGCTTAAACATGTGCGCGGAGCGTAGGCTTGAAAACAGGGCCGTGTTTAAATTCCGCTGTGTGCTAGCTAGCATCGCGGTTCCTGTTAAAGAAAACCAGGAAACTGAGATTGTCAGTTTTCTCAAGATGGTGCGTCCTCTCTCTTTGTGTGGATGTGTGTGTGTGTGTGTGTGTATTTGCATGCGTGTGTGCTAAATCCATTTTGGAAATAAGAAAAAGTACTTTAGAAACTTCCTTGAGGAATTGAAGTTGGTGAAATAATGGAAGGTCTGGTGGGTTTGTTTGGAGACCGAAACTGACTGAAGTTGTGCTATAAAGGCAATTTAATTAAAAATTATAGCATTGTGTGGCAAAGAAGCATGCTTCAGTTGTTATCTCTTAGCAGTTGCTTATTTGAATTAAAACAGAGACGCTTCTGAATTCCAAGGAATCAGCGACTACTTGAGGAGAAGACCCTCAACCCAAACGCCCAACGTCTTTCTGTGTAGGTCAGAGGTATCCAACCTTGGCAACTTTTAAGACTTGTGGACTTCAACTCCCAGAATTTTGGGAAGTCTGGAAATTCTGAGAATTGAAGTCCACAAGTCTTAAAAGTTGCCAAGGTTGGACATCCTGAGTGCAGATCTTTTCCTGGAACCCACCTGTTCTTTATCTTCAAAGAGACATCTGGTTATTTATTGAAGTTGGGATTCCTGGAATCTCAGTCATGTTGAGAATTAAATCTTCCATGGAGAAAGCATGGCAAGATAGCCATCTAGTTGGTCATCTCCATCAGCTTTAGTTAAATCTGTGGGCACTTCAACTAATGTTGAACTGCCCAATACCCAATACCTCTCTTCATTGCTTATGCTTTCTAGCCATTATAGGTGGGTATTGTAATCTAGAGTCATGTTGCTCAGTCCCCATATGTTCAAACTCTTATCTAGAGAGCCCCCCATTATCTACCCTACTCTAACCTTCATAGGGCCTTCCTTACCTGTAATTACAGATGTCTTATTTCCTTCCTGCTTGTGGCAGCGTTTGTGTACCGAAGGAACTCTTTATTTATTTAGAGAATTTGCATGATGCCTTAATGGCTCCGAGCACTCAAGAAATACAATTAAAACCAAAGAGTGTTTTAAAGCAAACCGTAAACATTACTTAATAAAAACAGTACACTGTATAAAAACGATGCATATTAAAAGAGTTAAAGCTAATTAAAAGGGCTGGGTAAACAAATAGGTTTTGAGACCTCTTCTAAAGAGGAGTAACTGTCCAGATTTTCCTCTTAATCCAGACTCCCTATACACAATCCTGTGTACCCATCATCCTGGGTGTGTTCTCATCCTAGCCAGTTCACCAAGCCCATCGTTCTTTGAATGGTTACAAGGCAACTTGAGATTTGTCCATGACCGTCCAGGGGGTGGTCAAAGGGGATACCAAATAAGGTATTAGGGCTCACCAACAGCCAATCTAGTTCTACCAGGCCCTGATAATCTGCTCC